TAAAGGTTCTGAGGTGGAACTCTGATCTTTATGTCAAAGGGAATGCTGAATATGTAGAGAGATTGAAAAACTATAACCAAACTGAGATTTTCCACTTGGTATAATTTGAAGGGTTGAAAACTAAGCAAAAATGAAATGAATTTATTACTAATGATAACCACCATTATTTAATAGCAAGTTTGTATGCTATCTTAGCATACTCACTTTCCAGTCACACTCACTATCTATTTTAACATGATTATACACCTCTCAAATTTTGAGAAATACTAACCCGTATACTATGGATATATAATTAGCTTTGTTAGTTTAAAATATCCAGCCAAAATTTTTGCTTTTGGTGATTTATTAAAGCTGCCTTATCTAAAACAGGATGCCTATGTGACTTGAAATTATAAGAAAGAGAGATGCTCTCATTTGTTTTTCAATTGTTTAGCACAAGTAGTTTTGCCCATTGAAGGAAGGGCCTTGTATACTGCATGGTGATTTACATAAAGCCTAGTTTCTAATATAAACCATCTTGTAGTGCTCTTTCTTTGTTTACAACTGTCCATGCTTCTTTAATTTCTATAGGAGCAAGATCAAATGGTGCAAAAGAAATAAAACTATGCCAAGTAAAAGGCACTTGAGCTGGGCTGGGGTCACTCAGTTGGTTGAGTATTGTCCAGTGCACTGAAAGGTTGCCAGTTTGATTCTGGGTCAGCGCAAATACCTGGGTTGCGGGTGTGATCCCCAGTCGGGCAGCGTACAGAGGGTACCAATCAGTGTTTCTCTCTCACATAGATGTTTTTTTCTCTCTCCCTCTCTCTAAGTATGTCCTCGGGTAAAGGTTTAAAAAAAAGAAGACATTTGGGAATTCCTCTTTCAATAACTATTGGTGTGATGTTGAGCACACACTTGCCTTCACTTTTCTTATTATTAAAGTGAATAGGAAAGTTCCAACCCCTCTTTGTGTAAAAGTTGCAAGAATGAAATCAATAGGCTGAATAATAACAATATTATTTACCAATAAGACTCAAAAGTCATCTACTTGAGGCAGCTTGTGTTGTACTCTTAGGTTTATTGCCTTAGCACTCTTTCTTTCAGTGAAAGACTTGACAGCAGTTAATCTTAAGCACGTAACTTTTCATGTACATCTAAACTTTAGTTGTAGATTAAACGCTAAGTTGTTTTCCTTTCTTTTGAACTTTGAAGGCCTTTTTCCAGATGGTGTCATGTGGCACACTGTTTGTGTTGTAGTTTTTGATGATTTTGAAAGCTCATTCCATCAGAGATGCCTCACTACCCCACCAGGGACCCAGCACAGCCAGCCTTCCCATATGTTTCTCCATCTCTGCACTCTAAGCTCCGTCGCTGCCTTGCCTGCATAACAAATACCAATATGGCTCTGGACCTGCATTCCTCCCAGATGAGCAGACTTCAAAGCAAGTGTGAGGTCTCCAGGAGAAGGCTTTTCCTTTGTCCATCTGTGTGCCCACTGCCCGCTACGTGTCTGGTTTTCTTAGCGATTGAGTAATTAAAGGAGGTGGCAAAAGTAGGGAGAAAGGAGAGAGTCCAAAGAGGTTTATGATTTTCCAGACCTGGAAGTAAGTGGAGGAAGCAAGATAAAATTAAATTTTCCATCTGGAACAACAAATTAGGTTGAGAATGACAAATTTAGTGCAAGTAGCAGGTTAGCTGTGGGCACGGCATCAACACATATAATGTAACTTTGCATGTCATTATTTAACATGCTAATATATCACTATTATATGCTCATTACTGGCAGTAGCATCGCACTGAACAAGAGATCATTATTTACTTGAGGGCCATGTCAGTGACTGATGAGGATTGTATAATGCAGCAGCTACCCTAGGTTTTTCATGGGGGAAATGAAATGAGATTTGTTCCTTTATGCTTGTGTGGAAGTTAAACTTGAGCTACGATGGAGCGAGGTAGAAAGGTCTTCCAGTTTTTTAATATCATTCCCAGTCTGAGTATGTAAAATTCACCTGTATTACTCTTCCACATCCACTTTTTCTTGTTATATTTTTCTTTTCTTTTAAAGTCTCTCTCTCTCTCTCTCTCTCTCTCTCTCTCTCTCTCTCTCTCTCTCTCTCTTTTTTCTTCTTCTTCTTCTTCTTCTTCTTCTTCTTCTTCTTCTTCTTTCTTTTTTTTTTTAAATTTGTCATTTCTTTATAGCCTCTTCCTCTTGAGCTAAGGAGTATATGATATATTTTTTTTTTATCCTGAACAACCTGCAAGTATTTATGGGATATCTTTTAGGCTCTCACTGCTCCCCAGTTAGAGGATTCTAGTCATGGCCATTGAACCTAAACTGTGTTCCTTCACAGAATCACACATAATGAAATCAAGGGGTGGATGGCTTGCTTTAATGTAATGGAGCCTCTTGGTGGGAGGGATGACAATGGGCGAAAAGAAAGAGCCAAAAGAAGGAATTCATCAGACTGTGACCATATAAGCAGGGCGCAGTAGCTTTTTCATTATGTCCTTTTGTGGAGGTGCCTGTCATGTAGAAAGTGCTCACTAAATAATGCTTACAGACAGAAA